AATAATTTATAAAAAATTAAATATATGTTCATACTACATTTCTTCAAAAAATTCTAAGAACACCACAAATTCTTTTTTTACAGAATGAGAAGGGATATTTTAAAAAATAATCCCATTTAAGTAATTTAAATATTTTTTATCTTTATTTTTATAATAACTTTTCAATGTCTACAATAAAAATTATTTTTTCACTCATTGTAATTCATTGTTTAGCTTTGTAGTTCACCTAACTAAAGTATATTTAACATATACTTAAATATTAAATTTAAGTAGTTAGGCAAATTTTCCACAATTTTGACGTTTCTTCTGTTCTGAAAACCTTGTATTTTAACAAAAGCATTATATATTTAAATATATACTCCTCTATGGTAGTCAAATACAAACCCAAGTTACATTCTGTAATGCCATATTTGTTTAATTTTTTTCTCTCACATATATAACTTTGTTGAGCAATTTAGAGTAGATATTTTCAGATTTGCTACCCAAAAAATCTTTGAACAGAAAACATTAAATATTTTTAAATATGTATATTGCCTTGTAAACCAAACCAACTCAAAACCATGACTTTCCCAAAACAGTTGCTATGTAAATATGACTTGAATAAAAAGGTTTATGAAACTAAAAGTAACATTATCAAGTCTGTACTGCACACTAGTGGCAAAAAATGGTAAATGTATGTGTTTTTTTCAATTAAAATTAAAACCAATTCTATCTTAAATATCAGCTCTCTCAGTCAAATTTAGAACCCATTACATTATAGAGCATATACACAGACTATAAACATAACATGATTTTTGTGTTGTGAAGTATTTTTCAAGTATACATTAATTGTGAATGTTCACACCCAGAGATGATAGGTACCTATGCATGTAAATACTATGAATTCATATATTCATGTATGTCTCTGTGTGCATGCACACTCACACACACATATATAATATATATTATAAACACCCACTAAATGTTAACTCATTTGAAAGTATTTAGCTTGTCATTCTTTTCTTTCCTTTGTTCATAATTCTTTCCCACATCCTTATCTCATACAATGCTTTAGTACACAGAATATGTACAATTGATATCATTTAAAAAATAAATAGTAGTAAATCTTGTAAAGGGTAGGGTTTATGACAGCACTGTGTTGATGAAAATGTGAAAGTATAAAGCGAAGTGGCAGACCCTGAAGCTGTAATGCCAGTATAAAAAGAACCTAAATACACTTGAAGTAAATTGCTATTTTTAGATGGATTCATAAAAGAATAAAAGTGTTTATGACAGATGGTGTGATAAGAAATTCTGAGCAATTTTCTCCAACGTGCCTAGAATAATTCATCCTGTAGTTTATCATTACCCACTTCACTCTCTATATGTATATTAAAATATCACACTGTACACCTTAAGAATATACAATAAAAACTTCTTAAAAAGAAATAAAGGCTAACATAAAACTTCAAAAAAAGGTGTTATTTAGAAAAAGATTTCTTACAGCCTGAACTTGACTAAGTCCATCTTTGACATGTAATTACAAATGTTCCTCCTAAAGAGAAATTTCAATATTTTTTTTAACTTCCCTTCCTATTTGTTGAGTCTTCTGCCTTTGCCCACTACCTCACATACCCAAAGAGAGAAAACCCTGGGTTTCACATCTTCCTTTACATAGTATGACCCATACCTCTTTCACGTTTTTTGGCTTCGACTCTTTCAGTTCTTCATACTTCCATTTCCATAGAGACAAAGCTGACTCCAGTCGTTCTATTTCTTTTTCCAAAGCTGTGCGTGTTCTAAATCATATAAGAATTAAAAGAAAGCAAAGCAGTCTTATAATTTTAAAATAATCTTAGGAATGCATCCAATTTTATATTTTCTATTTTCCCAGTTCTTGGTATTTGTATATCATTAAAAGGAGAGAAAACATTTTCCAACTTATTAAAAATTACAAGTATTCAATAAAACCCGTTAAGTTATTCTGTCAATTAACTTTACATATTTAATTTGGCTTTGACAGTATTGACTTTCTGCCTGCTTTCTCCTATATATTTTATGCATTTTTCCTCAATTCTTCT